TTATGCTATAAAATTAAGACAAAAAAATAATTATAATATATTATATTATATATTATAGTATATTTTATAAAATATATTTTACCTAATTATATTAAAAGCAATTAAATCTTTAAAAATATAATTTAAAAAAATATAATAAGTTTATTATATTTTTATAGGCTAGGATAGCTTTTTTACAAGGGGAAAGAAAAGGTCAAGAAAGATTAAAAAATGATTTAGTAAGAAGAATAAAGATGTTAGAATATGCTCTTAAACAAGAAAGGTAAGATTTTGTTTTAAATTAAAATTATAAAATAATTTTATTTTCAAAAAATATTTATAATATTTTCATCATTTTTATAGAGCAAGGTATCATAAACTAAAATATGGCACTGACTTAGTAATTCAAGGGGATACAAAACCTCCTATTTATGAAGAAGGTATTTGTAATTGTCCCAATTCTGATGTTGGAGGTGGTGGTGATGGAGAAGCTCCATTTACATCTGTCAGTAATATTAGTTGGAGACAAGGCCGCCAAATTTTAAGACAGTACATAAAATATTTTTATAATTATTGTTCATACAATATAAAGTTCATTATCATTAATAGTTTATATATAATTCTTATATTTTAGATATTTACAAGAAATTGGTTACACTGATACAATAATAGATGTACGATCCAGCAGAGTAAGATCTTTACTTGGTTTAAGTAATAATACAGATTCAGAAGATATGAATACTCCTGCATTAAATGGCAATGAACCATCAAATAAACAAGCATCAGATAATAGTGATACAGGACTTTTAAATAGTGTTCGTAGAACTTCAGAAAAAAAGGTAGAGGTAAATAATTTTTAATCATTTTATTATAATTTTTATAAAAGTTTTCAATAAAAATTTTATTGAAATAATGCTTATATTAATGTAAATATTTGTTATATACCTGAAATCAAATCAAATTTCTATAATATCAATTTTTTATAATAATATATCAATATATATTTACAATAATATATATACTTTTTATATTTTTATGTTGGTAGCAACGATCTTCTATAGCAGAAGCAATAATATTAGATACAGAAGCAGCTGTTATGGCGAACTTTGAATTTTTGGCTAATACAGATATGGATATGGAAGAAGAGGAAGGAGATGTAGGAGATGATATTTATGATACTAATATGGATCCTAAACCAAATAAAGTGAGCAACATATTTATTTATTTTTCTATTTAATATATATCATTGCATATTCATTTAAATTGAATTAATATATTGTTTTTATTTTAATTTTTAGCCACCTATGCTTTTAACAGAAGATGTTGATGCAGAAGCTGAAGAAGTATTAAATGAATTGAATCTTCTCACAGAAATTGAGGAATCACCACCAGGTTCTATTCGTTATTTATCTGAATGGAGTTAGTATTTATTTCATTTATAGTTTCACAAATAAATTTCAATTTGATCAATATTTTAAAAAGATTGAATATTTAAAATTTAATAAATTTACAGATGCAATACATAGAGGTGCACATACAGATCCAAAACGTCTAAATGAAGAAGGTGACTCTACATTGGAATTGGGTGAATTAGAACAATTATGTGTAAACAATGAAGCAGAAACATCATATGATGTGAGTTAAATTGATTATGTCAGTTATTATTGTTGATGTTTTTTATAGATATATGTATATATATTTATAAAATTATATATATTTATAAAATTTATATCATCTATAAACATTTAATTTTATTTTTAATTTAAAATAGAATTTTATTTTATTTTTTTCATTATATTTTAGAATATTATTATTAAAATTAAATATATTTTAGATGGTAGCCACTACAAAGGAAAGTTTAAGAAAAACATGGAATGCAAAGTATACATTAAGATCTCACTTTGATGCTGTTCGAGCTCTCGTCTTCCATCCCACTGATCCTGTTCTTATAACTGCAAGCGATGATCATACACTCAAATTATGGAATCTTCATAAAACTTTACCAGCAAAGAAGTAAGTTATATCTTAAATTCTATATTTATATTTCTATCACTTTATAGATAAAAAAAAATGTTAATTCATTTGTTTCAGATCAGCTTCATTAGACGTAGAACCATTATATACATTCAGATCACATACAGGTCCTGTATTATGTTTAGCTATGTGTAGTACAGGAAGTCAATGCTATAGTGGTGGTTTAGATGGTATGATTCATTGTTGGACACTTCCATCGGCCAATATAGATCCATATGACTCCTATGAACCAAGTGTCCTTAGCCAAACATTAAAAGGACATACAAATGCAGTTTGGGGTTTAAGCATGTATCAACTTCGATCACAATTATTATCAATCAGTGCTGATGGAACTGTAAAATTATGGAGTCCACAAAGCAAATCACCATTACTTCATACATATGTTTCTGAACAAGGTATATTTTTTTAATGTATTATATATAATTTTATAAACTCATTATTAAAATTTTTTTTTTTCTTTTACAGATGGAATACCATCATCAGTAGATTTCATTAGGGACGAATCAAATAAATTAGTTGTAGCTTATGATAGAGCTTGTGTGGTATTTGATACGGAAACAGGCGAAAGCGTAGCTCGTCTTGAGGCCAACGAAACAAAAGGAGTAAATCGTGTTGTGGCGCATCCTACATTACCACTTGTTGTTGCAGCACATGAAGATCGACATATTCGATTTTACGATCATCGATCAGCTACCCTTGCTCATGCTATGGTTGCTCATTTGGATGCAGTTACTAGTCTTGCAGTAGATCCTCATGGTTTATATTTGCTTTCAGGAAGTAAGTAATAGTAAATTAAAATAAATTAAATAATTAAATAAATAAATTATTAAATATTTAATTTTTTATTTTTAGGTCATGATTGCAGTATAAGATTATGGAATATGGATAATAAAACTTGTGTTCAAGAAATAACAGCACACCGTAAAAAATTTGATGAAAGTATTTTAGATGTAGCATTTCATCCTTCACGACCTTTTATAGCAAGTGCAGGGGCTGATGCTCTTGCCAAAGTGTATGTGTGAAATGTAAATTAAGATACACATTTCTATTACCAACATACAAATGGAACAGATTTTATACTCATTCTTTCTAGATAGTTTTACTTATACATGTTACACTTCCAATTTTGTTGTAACTTATATTGCTCTACCATTTGAAATATCACTTTAGGAAATCAAATTGAGCGTATAGATATCCATGTTACGAAACCAAAATTTGCACATAACCTTTATCCGCAATACTTTATTAAAAAAGTAATTTCAAATACAGAATATTTCAGTTTTTAGATGATAATATTAATATATTCTGAGTTTAAATAAGAAAAAAATATTATATAAAAATAGATTATTTAATACTTTATTAAAAAATATTAAAAAACATATAACAAATATAAACAATTAATGGTATTTATATATAATTTTTTATACGAATTATGTTTATTATTTGAAATCAAATTAATATAATATTCAATTTCAAAATTCTTAATTTAATAAAACTTTAATTATATTTAGTAACATGGCAGTTGGAAATAATTTATTTCTATATTATTATAGTAATTACATGTTTATTTCATTCATGTTTCTCATTTTTGTAATTTTTTAATAAAATGTTAAATGATGTGTTTATATAACATTTTTTTTATTTAGATTCAAAACATATTAATAAAATTTAACATCTAAAAACTGAAACATTCTATATAAATGCTGCTTATTGATAAAATTTCCTCTAAGTAGCAATATAAATTGGGATAGCGGAAGGGGTCTGTCTTGTAGTATATTAGTTATATAGTTCTGGTAATTAGATGATAAAATACCCCTTACCCAGAATCCAGGAAGCACACTGCCGCAGTAGCATAATATTTATCCCTATGTTAACTATTTATTACCAATATTACAGTTACTGTTGCACAGCTACTGGAGATTAAGACGTACTACACGAGAATGAAGTTGTCCTACATCAATTAGTCTCCCATTATATGATTTTTATGCTACCTTATATATTTATCGAGGTAGGTATATAATAACAACAAAAAGCAACAACAACAATAATAATAATAATAATAACCGTAATAAGTTAATTATAATGTAAGAGACATAATATTAATAACAGTAAATTATAACTGTGTGTTTCTCTGTAATATATTGTATTTAAAAATAGATGAACTGTGTAACGTACTATAATGAACATGTTTTTATTAAAATTTAATTCCATTTCTATTATTTTTTCCTTCTACAAATCTGAATATATAAATTATAATTATAAGAAACGGAATTAAAATATTAAAATTTATTCAATTTTATTAATTAAAAAATAAACATAAAATATTATTTATAGATCTTATAAGAAATTTAAGCGAAATTTAGTATCAATATTTTATTGAAAAAATACGAGAAAATTAATTTTTTAAAAAATATATAGATTTTATTAAATATTAATATACAAAATTTTACTATATATATATATATATATATGTACATATATATATATATATAAAATAGTCTGAATGTCCAATCAAAACGAAGCAAAATTATCATATATATACCACATATACATAAATATAGTATATATAAAGAATATCTATAAATTATCACGTTGATCAGCTGAGAGACGTTCTCAATATAGTTGTAACGAGTTATCTGTCGTATATATAACATTATAAATTTATATATTATAAAAAATATATAGTATATATGGAATAATTTAAAATACATGTTTTTCAGTAATTTTAAATGTATTTTGAAAGGTATAATTTATTAAGCAAATTAAAATTCAGAGTAAAAATAATAAAATATTATGTATATTTTAATAAAGTACATATTAATTTTTTTTTATTAAGAAACATCAATATTTATTTATACGAGTGAAACATTTATAAGATGTAAATTGAATTCGTTAAATGTTCATATAGGTTATGTGATTATGATTCTTAAAATATATCTAAATTTCTTGTCCATAAATATTAAAAAGTGATATGTTTGTTGCGCTTTATAAGCGCCAATATTATATAAAAAATTAAGAATGGAACGAAATGGCGCGAGAGAAATGGAAGAACGAATGTGCATAAGAGATACTGGAAAGACACTGAAAAAATATGGTAGTACAGCTAAACATATTACAAGAAATGAAAATTTATTAAAACATACTGTATTAACAACTGATACTCTTCAAGGAATTGCTCTAAAATATGGAGTTACAGTATATATTTTATTTTTTAAAATAAATATATGAAAATGTATGTTTCATATATCTTACTTTTTTAGACTGAACAAATAAGAAGAGTCAATAGATTATGGGCTTCTGATAGCTTATTCTTACGGGAACATTTATTTATTCCTATTAATCCAGAAAGTCCATTATCATTAGATAATATTGAAGAAATTGAACATAATATAGTTCAAAATGTAATATTTGTTTATATAAATAATAAATTATTATTTAATATTATATAATATATAAAATATATTTTTAGATTTCTAGTCCATCTTCAATAACATCATCTATAGATGATGATAGTTCAGTTAATGATTTTTTAGCTAAAATGGATTCTTCTATAGCCAATGCTAAAAAAGAAGTTAAACGTACTCAGGGGAATAGTGAGTAAGTTATTCACTAATAATTAATGAATATCAATCATTAATAGTTTTACATTTATACTTGAAAAAAATTTCTTATATAAATTTATTAATAAATATATTTTAGATTTTGCACTGAGGATAACGATATCTATGTACAATCACATAGAACATCTTCTAAATTACGTAATTCGTTTCCTATAACTTCAAATGCGTATACAGTACCATCTGCTTCAGAATCATTAAGACCATCTTCTAGTGACATGCATAATTTTCCAACTGCTGTAGTTATGACTCAGGGTAGAAAAGTGAAAACATCATTACAAAGACTTCAACAACAGCAAGATGAAATATTCCAGTTGTAGCAATCAAATTTTATTGAACTGTAATATATTTAACATTGACAGTGACATTAAAAAGTTTAAACAAAAGATATATTAAATACTGAATAATGGAAATAGTAAAAAGCTATTTCATATTTAAAATTGGTTGATCCAATGTTAATGTAAGTTGTATTCATTTTTTTTTTTTTTTTCATAAATTTTTTATTATATTTTAAATATACTACAGATATTAGAAATATTTATATAAGATAATATTTATTATTTCTATTCTTGTAGTCTGAATACTATCATCAATGGATCAACATAACTCTTATATTGTCCAAGCATATTTTTAAAATTGTTCAAATAATATTTCTTAGTAAACCATATGTGCCTTTAATCCAAGTTGATTGTGTATTTCTGTTATTTTTATAAAATATATACATATTTTATGTTATATCTAAAATATTAAGCTTATATGATTTCTTTCTATTAAATTTCATCAATTTTATTATAAGTAATATTTACTATTAGAATTCTTTATTCTAATTTTAATTTTATTAAACATAAATTTATAATTCACTTATATTTTTTTTTGTGATCTCAATTATATCAGATGAATAATTTTTATAGAAATTATAAATTATTAATATTAACATAATTAAATATTATATTCTATTCTACAAGCCAATTACTAAATTGTTTTCTAAATTAGTCTTCTTTATCAAATTGTTTATATTATTTATTTATGTAATTTATTTTGTTTTTAAAAATATTGTTAAATTAATACAAAATTAAATAAATAAATACAGCTTGGATAATAAACTGCGCGTTTATGTAAAAAAATTATTCAATTATTTTAGTACTAATGCAAAATATTAAAATAATATGAATGCTCAATTTTTAGTTACAATTACGTGATATTTATAATTCACTATCAAAAATTTTTATTATAAAATTTAATAGAATCAAGAATTATTATTGTGTGAGATTTGTATATAATGCACAAATGAATTTAATATATTAAATTCATATTGAAATATTAATAAAATTAATTAATATAAATTTAAAATATAAATTTTTGTTTTAAAATTATTATTAAAATTTTTGAAATACATATATTATTGACAAATTATTTTATTTAAAAAAGAAAAAATAATAAATATTAAAATATTATATTATAATATTAATTACATGTATATTGTAAATTATTTGTAATTATTTTTAAAGTTATATAAATTTATCATTGATGCAATTAATCAAGATTTTATAGAAGAAAAAAATACAGTACCTGTTAATATTATCTATAATTAATATTTTGTTCCTTGTTATGTTAATAATATTATTTGCTGATATTAAATATTATAATGCGTTTTATTATTATTATTATATTATTCATATTATGTTATTATATTATATATTGTGTAAGAATAATTATAAATTATTATAATTATGATAAAAGAATTAAAATTCAATAAATGATAAATTTATTTTAAAATAACATAATATATAGAAACAATAAATTTTACAATTTATATTAAATACACATATTATATGGTCTAACTAATTTTTTCACTTTGTTATGAATACATAACAATCAATTTAAGTTATTTTTAATGCTATGCATTAGTGATTTATTGTGGATATTTTAAATAAGATTTGTTTAATATATATGATATAATTTATTAGTTATAACATATAAGATAATTGTGTTATATGTAAGATGATACACATTTAATATTCATTTTAAGTTCACGTGCGTCTAAACGTACGTGTATATATATGTATATATATATATATTGAGAAATATTTAATTGTTATAAATATAAAATAAATATTATTTGTTAATAAAGTAATTTACAAATATATAATAAAGGATATTTAAAGTAAATATTTTTTGTAAATGAATTATTAGTAACTTAACAATTACAAAAAAAAATTTTTTTGCATATTTATATATTCTTAAAAATTAAATTAAATAATATAAATAAGAATTAATAGTTAATAATCATATTTATGTTTATACATATATAAATACATATTTGTCACATTCAATAAGTATTTTATGCAAAGTATACAAATATAAGATATCGCAGAATATATGAACAATATCTGAACAATGTTTTTGTTTAATATTATATAAATATATTTACATTATTTGTATATTAATATATAGTTTGAATTATCTTAAATCATTTTTGAATATCTGTTTTTTATTTAAAATTATTTTTTATTTATTTATGAAGAATAATATAAAATTCAGATTTTATAATATTTTTCTATATTATTTTCTATATTTTTTAAAATCTGTCTTTTATGCAACATATTTAAGATCAATAAAAAGATAAATTATTTAAAATAAATTAGAATTATTTGGAAAAGAAAAATATATCTACTTTGTTATTAGTTATTTTGATTGGAAGTGTTATAAATTTACTACAATTACATTTTAATTCATTTATGAAATTAAATGTACCTATTCGATTATTACAATTTGGACAATGTAATCTACCCTTTGTCCAAGATTCCTGTAAAAAATGTATATCATTTTATTATAGGTTATAGGTAAAAATTTTATTATAAAATTTGTATATATATTTTCATTGATATAATTTTTATTTTTTAGTACAATAATTTTTTTTTAATAATATAATTTAGAAGAAACTTTACTTGATTTATAGTATGTTCAATCCATTTAGGTAATTTTTCCACTGATATATATGAACAAGATTCAAAATTATTTGTTTCACATCCAACATCAGTAAGATTTTTTTTTATTTCATTATGAGAAGTAAATAAAGAAATACATTCTTTATTAAAAAGATTTTTTCTACAATGTTTGCACTTCACTTCCATCACCTATAAAAAATTATTTTAAATAATATATTATATATTAAATATATTTAATTTTTTCATCATTATTTAATATATTTAATATAAACATACTCGATTTATTTTGATAAAGAAAT